TCTCTCTCTCTCTCTCTCTCTTCCACTAAACTAAAGCGGTACTCCTGGTTTCTCATCTCAAACAAACACACCTAGCTACCCACCGACTTGCAATCTCATTTCACTAGATCTATAATTTCATCAGAAAGTTCGAATCCTATCTTTAAACACGGACAATCCCTTCAACTTCAAGGCGCGCCTCCTTCGATCCAGAGGGAACCAGAAACGGTCATCATAGTCATTAATTACAACTGACGTCAAAAAACTGTACTACTAATCAAGACAAGTGTCGCGTGCCTTGTACTAACGGTATTTCGGTTGAAAAAGCGGAACTCCCCAGCTCATCCCAAACGTAGCATACGTTTATAGTCACATCCTTACAACAATTGAGTATAATAAGGGTCAAGATTTTCCAGGCACATCAGTGAATTGTAAGGTGCAACAGCAGACAGACAGACTTGTGTAACCAAAAGCATTGACATTGTTCTCCTATATTTTATTTTGTATCTACAGAAAATGGGTAAGAACACGTAATTATTATCGTCTGCCCGACTATCTGGTATTTTTATGGTATAATAAATACGAGACAACAATTCATATAATATAATAATAATAAAACGACAATGTTTTTGTTTGTGCTTGTTTTGGGGTGGGGTTTTTATTTGGTACAGAGCGGGCGGTTTTTGTTTGTTTGTTTGTTTTAGATTCTTTCCAAATGGACATAGAAAACACAAATTTATTTCAAAGACACTACCAACATTCCAACCACCATGGGCCGACAGGATTCGTCCAGGAAGGACATTACGTGTGCTCTAAACTGTAGACTGCTCTTGCCGTTATCAAACCAGTGGTTCATGCGCGTTCACCATAATTTTGTCAAATACTTAATTTGACATTCAGTAAAATTGGTCCGCTTTTTTTTTTCTTTTTTGTTACGTATGCGCGGTAATGCATACTAGTTATTTAAATCCATAATATATATCCATTATTGCATACGATTAATGGGTAATTACATGCTGAAATAAAAGACTCGAGTATTCTTTTTTTTTTCTATTTTAAAAAACTTTTTTTTTCAACGTGAACTTCGTTTGGTATTAGTGTAAGTTTTACCCGAGAGCGTTTTGACTTTGTAATAACGCTTGTGTGTGTGTGTGTGTGTGTGTGTGTGTGTGTGTGTGTGTGTGTGTGTGTGTGTGTGTGTGACGCCAAAGTGTTGCTGTAAGAGGCGTCGAGTGGGATGGAGCCATGTCTCAAGGACCGACGAAATACTGGTGGGTAAAACCCTTAAAAAACAAAAAACAAAAAACTGAACAGTATAACTCAGAAACAAAATGATGTCAAAACGAATGATGACTTTCCGAGGCGAGGACATCGTTTTCATGTAAAAGAAAAAAAAAAGAAAAGAAAAAGAGAAGTTACATCTTTAACTTTTCAAGACATCTTGTCTGCTCGTCCCTGATGAGGTCATCTTATGGTAGGTTCAAGTGACTCACTGCAGATGCTGTTTGTTCTTCTCGAGTGTGTGTGTGTGTGTGAGTGTGTGTGTGTGTGTGTGTGTGTGTGTGTGTGTGTGTGTGTGT